ACCAGCCCCGCCGCTTCCTAGCAAGCTCACTGCTGCCCAGAAGCTCCCAGCCAGGGAACTCCACCAGCCTATTTATCTGAGCCCCGGGAAAGCTCCGTGACGTAGCTGCCCATATATGGACAGACAAAGCCCAGCCGAAGGGGCGCGACGTCACAATGGAAGCTCCTCACAATGGAACATTAGAAAGCAGGAAGCGGGCCGCAGCCAACGTGCGGCGCCCGCACCGCTCGCCGCTCTTGAAAAAAGGAAAGAGCAATAGAAGAGAAGAAGGAAGGAAAACGAGAGCGGAGAGAGGAAAGAATGCAAGCTGAACGCAAACGCGCCAAGCACGTAGCGCGGAGTCGAAAAACCAGCAACTAAGTGTGTGTGTTTGTTTATCTGAGGTCAGCGTTAGCAGAACGCGCTTGGGGCACGGTGGGCGGCGGGGCGGGGTTGTTTGCGAGTGTCCCCCAATACGCCCAGCGGGGAGAAAGAGAGTTGAAAACCCTCGGTGAGGTCCCTTTGCAGCCTGGGAAACCGCTGGGGAAGCCGGAAGGCGTGCGTTCCGCCCCTGCTCCAGCTGCGCGCCCCGCGTCCAAGACCCTACCTCACTCAGATCAGGAGAGAGGGAGTGCTTCTCTCAGGGGGAGGAGGTTGCAGTGTGTCGGGATTCCTTGGTCCAATATCCCGAGAACTTTTGTGTCAACTTCACTTTGACTCGCCGCCCACACCCTTGCCCCTCCCTGGGCCCCTGACCCGGCGCTGACACCGAGTTGAGCGCAGTGGCTGGGTGCTTGGTAGGGGGTTGCGCCAGAGGCAACAGCCCCAGGTATCTGGGGTCGAGGATGTGTGGGGTTGGTGTGGAAGAAGAAGGAATGAAGTTGAGGGGATAGAAAACACGTGGACCGAATCCCCTGTAAATCCTCTAACGGTTCCCAAGCGTCCCTTTGGCCACGGGATGGCAGGAGGACCCAGCAGGCCTGGGCGCAGTCTCCGTCTCTTGCTGCCTGCGACGGACCCGCCGCTGAGTTGCAGAGGTGGACGCCGAACCAGTCTCTGAGCCACCACGGCAGCCTCGCCTAGTCCCTACCCGCCCCCTGGCCTTCCACAGGGCCGTCCCCATTGCTGCCTGCCGGCGAGCTGCAGTCCAGGGCGGCCTGTGAGCGGACCCGGGGCGCCGTCACCTCCCGGAGTGGCCGCGGGTCCCGGGGGCGGCAGCTGTGCTCCCCGAGGCCTGCTCCTGTTGCGCGCGCGGCCGGGCCGCGGGCGAGGGGGAGGAGAGGGAGGCAGCAGGGGAGTGCGACCCCAAATCACACCGGCGTGGCGGGGGAGGATTCCCTCCTCGGTGGCCGCGTGGGCGCGGTGAATCCCGCGTCCCCTGCCGGGGAATCAGGGCTGGGGGAACGTGCATTTCTCAGGGGGAGTGGGAGTGTTGACAAGGAGGAAGAGAGGATCCCCGGGCCTCACGCCGTGGGAGGGCCACGCGGGCCGGGGACGTGTGGGAGGAACTCCCGAGCCGCACATTGCGGTGGGGGCGGATGACAGCCTCGCTCCCCTCCCCTCCACTCCACTCGGTGGAGGGCCGGGAATGGGAGGACCGGGCCTCCTCCGGTCTTCTCCAGTTTTCGAGAAAGGAGGGTTTCCCGCCGCCCGCGAGGCCCCTCTCCCCCACCCCCGCCGCCTCTCCCGCCAGGCTCCCCGCTCCGGTGCTAGGGAGCCACAGCGCCCCCGGGCTCTCCTCCGCCCGCGCGGCGCGGGGAGGGAGCGCGCTGCAGCGGTCCCGCGCTCCGGCCAGAATCAGGGCAGGCTGCGCCTCCCGCCCCCGGCTCCCTCCCGGGGGGCGCTTAGGGGGCGGTGAGCGGCCGTCGGGGGGCGTGGGCGGCGG